TACTTTGGACATATTGTCAGGAGGGACCAGTCACTGGAGAAGGATATCATGTTTGGTAGGATGGAGGGTCAGAGAAAAAGAGGAAGATCCCCAGTGAGATGGATTGGCCAAGTGGTGGCATCAATGGGCTCAAGTGTGGCAACAATTGTGAGGTTGGCCCACGATTTGGCAGTGTTTTATTCTGTTGTGCTATGAGTCGGTACTGACTCGATGGCACCTAACAACAACAACAACAACAACAACAACAACAACAACATATAAATGGAGAACAGATTGAGTTGTCAAAAACTTATTTTGCTTAGATCTACTATCAACACTCATGGAAGCAGCAGTCAGGAAATGAAACAACTTGTTGCGTTTAGGCAAATCTGCTGCAAAAGACCTCTTTAAAGTGTTCAAGAGTAAAGATGTCAGTTTGAGGAGTAAGGTTCACCTGACCCAACCAAGATATTTTCAATAGTCTAATATGCACTTGGAGTCCTGGTGTGGTGCTGTGGTGCTGAACTGCAAGGTCAGTTTGAGCTGTAGGGTTGGCGGTTCAAGCCTCACCAGACTCTCCTTGGAAACCCTATACAGGGTTGTTATGAGTCAGAGCCGACTCGAAGGCACTTAGCAACAACAACAACAACAACATATGGATGTGAAAGTTGGCAGTGAATAAGGAAGACCGCAGAAAAATGGATGCCTTTGACCTATGGTGTTTGAGAAGAATATTAAAAGTACCATGGACTGCCAGACGAAGAAAACAAATTTATGTTGGAAGAAGTATAACCAGAATGCTCCTTAGACGCTAAGATGGCTAGACTTTGTTTCTCATATTTTGAACATGTTATCAGGATGATCCACTTCCTGGAGAAAGACATCATGCATGGTAAAGTGGCGGGTCAGCAAAAAAGATGAAGCCCCCAATGAGAAGGAATGGCAGTGTGGCAGCAGCTGTGGGTTCAAGCATAACACCTGTGAGATTGAGGACTCAACAACACCTATCAACAACAACAACTCTATACTGAACAGATAGCCTTATGTTTCTCACCAGTGCCTGGAGTGGTTGGTGGATTCCAACTACTGACCTTGAGATTAGCAGCCCAATGCTGAAACACTAAGCCAAAGGGGCTCCCTTCATTGCTCTTGGTGGTTGTGTGCCGTGGAGTCGGTTCCCACCCATAGCGACCCTGCACAGGGTTTCTGAGGCTGTAAATCTTTTTGGGAGCAGAACGCCTCATCTTTCTCCTGCAGAGTGGCTGGTAGTTTCAAACTGCTGACCTTGCGGTTCGCAGTGTGATTCATAATCACTACGCTACCAGAGCTCCTTTGCTCTTAGTGGAAAATATTTGAAATTCCCTCTCTGACTAGTTTGTACCCTACACAGGTTCTGGATTTCACAGCTTTTATTGTAATTAAAAGGAGCTCTGGTAGTGTAGTAGGTTATGAATCGGGTTGCTAACCTCAATTGGCAGTTTGAAACTACCAGCTGCTCCATGGGAGAAAGACGAGGCTTTCTGCGCCCTTAAAGATATACAGCCTCGGAAACCCTGTACAGAGTTGCTATGAGTCGGAACCGACTCCATGGCACATCACCACCACCACCACCGTTAATTAAAGAGCCCTGGTGTGTGCTGTAGAATAAGCAATTAAGTGCAAGGTCGGTATGAATCACAAGGTCAGCGGTTCAAACCCTCCAGCCACTCCTTGGAAACCATACATAGGGTCGATATGAGTGAATTCAAAGGCACTTAACAACATTGTAATTAAACACACGAATGTGTTTTTGAAAGGAATGCAGTGTTAACTGAATCCTTTTGTAATATAATCCTTTCTCATATTTAAATGTTTATTTTTGTTTTTTAAAAACACCCCAGAAGGTGGTTGGCAAATAGCTGGCCATCAATAAACGTTGTTGTTAATTCTGACTCGTAGAGACCCTGTACAGGGTTTCCAAGGAGCAGCTGGTGGGTTTGAACCGCAGGTCTTTTGGTCTGCAGTCCAGGTCCCACAGCGCCACACCAGGAGTCCTGAATTACAATAAAATCTGTGAAATCCGGAACCTGTGAAGAGTGGAAACTTTGTCAGCGAAGGGAAATTCAAATATTTCTATTAAGAGCAATTTAGAGTCATCATGGCTAGTGATTCTCATTTTTGTTAAGTGCTGTTGAGTCGGTTCCGACTCATAGAGATATGTCTAGGGTTTGTGAGGAGGAGCAGTTGTTGGGTGTGAACCACCGACCTTGTTCAAACTGAACTTGTTGGTTTACATTTGTTGCACCAAATTGTGAAATGAGCCCATTTCGTGTGCATGTTGGGCACAATATCACTAAAAGCGGCCCTGCCCTCTCTTTCATGTTCCATCCTATCCCCCCACAGCACTGGTGAGATTTTGAGGGAAGACGCTTTATTTCGGAAAGCGCGGATCAGGCGGGCCTCGTGGGCGGGTTCGGGGAGCCCGAGAGCACTCACGGCTGCAACAGGTTGTCCCGGTACCGGCGGCGCTGGCAGGGCAGGGCCCGGGGCCGACTGGTGTAGGTGTAGGTGCCCATAGCAGGGCTGCAGCGCTAGCTCAGCTAGCGGGTCGCCTTCCTTTCGGTGGAGCTTGGCCTCGACGCAGGTGGGCGCTAAGGTGTATTGAGAGCTGGAAGGGCAAAAGTATTGCCAGGTACGGGGATTCCACGAGGCAAACAAGGGTGGGAAGAAAAGGCACAGGCGGAACGAGACGTTGAGCAGGTTAAGAGGTAAGTACTTTGCTCGCTTCGCTCCTAGTAGTACACAGTCGGCGCTAGGCGTTCACAACGGTTGCTGAGCAACGCGGAACTCGGTTTAGGGGTGGGACTTCCTGTCGCAGGAGCGAGGCACGTCCGGCTCTCGGCTCCGCCCCGCTGCGACTGCGTGGAAGGAGGCGTTGCGCAACATGGGGCTCTACGAGTTGGTTGGCGGGTTTGGCTGGGTTCCGCTCGACGCCAGGCTTGGCATGGCTGGTGTCGGTGTCATTTTCCCAGGGAATGAAAATGTGCTCCCGCTGACTGCGGCGGCTTCGGCTGCTTCTCCCGCCACTGCTACCGCCCCGCTGTGTCCCAGTTGCCCTTGTGGTCATGCACGGAAGACGCCTGCTATTACGTGCCGTGCCGTGTGGGGCTGGGCTTCCTGGAGCTCCGGGCGCCTCCACCCTCTGTGCAGGGTTGGCGGCTTCTGCCCTTCCACCTCCGTACTTTCCCACCTTCATTCTCTGCATACCTTTGGCACATAGATAGATCCACAGGACTGCCCCACAGCCATGTTTATGGGGTGGAGTGAATCTGTTTGATGGATGCTTAGTCCTGTATCCCATAATCCATGATCCCTCAGTAATTAAAATGGTTTGTGCTCATCTGACCCAAAGGTGTTCAGTTTGAACCCACTCTGATTTACCATGAGAAAATTGCCCAGCGTTCACCTTCTGTAAAGATTACAACCAAGAAAGCCCTATTTAAGATATCATCGAAGGAGACACGGCCTGGTCCTCCATCATCCTCACAATTGTTGCCCATTGCCGCTGACGGTGTGTCAATCTCTTAACA